GGACCCCGTGGAGCTGTGCCGCGACTGGTTGCGCATCTGGAGCTGCGTGGGCATCGGCGTGGGCGACGCCGAAGGGCCACGAGTCTTTCGCATGGGCGACGACGACAAGTTGCGATGCCGCGCTCCCGAGGACGGAGCTCGCGGAGGCCGATTGCAACGGTCTGTAGGCGGAACGGGCGGCGGCGGAGGCGGTAGGTAGGTCTGCGCGTTGAGCCCAATGTCCGTAACGACCGGCCGAGGTTGGGGCATGTGAATCATGAGCCCGGCTGCATTGGCATCCGGCAAGGGCGCGTATTCGTAGGGCAATTCGCCGTGCTGCGAGTGCATTGCTTGGTTCATGCTGGCATTGAGGTCGAGATCCCACCATGTTGGATCCTGGTTTGCCGCAAAGTCGGCGCTCGCGCCGCCCCATTGCTCCGCCATCATCATTTGCTGCGGCCAGGGCCCTGGCTGAGGAGCTTGAGAGGCGGGATCGACGGCTACGGGCGAGGGCATCATGCTTGACGCTGCCTGGTACAGATGCTGCTCGCTCTTGATGCGGCGAGTGGAGGAATGTCCCGTCGTTGGATCTATTGCGCCATGATAGAATTGCATGCTCGGAGAATGATAGAGCCTCGGCGGCTCAGCAAAGGGGTCATCGCAGAAGACTGGGTGAAACGCCGGCGTGCTGTTGTCGTAGGACGTGGGCGAGGGCGTCGTGTAGGAGACGCTGCCCACGGTGGCCTGGCCCGTGCTCGGCATCCGTGCGGCTCGCGACTTGATGGCCATGGGAGGATGATCAAGTGTAGGAGATGCCGCCCGGTCCGGCAGGGGATGAGGTGGCTGCTGCTGCTGCTGCTGCTGCTGATACTGATGCTTTTTACTCCGTCTCCCCAGAGTCGTTGCCTTGCGGAGGGTGGAGGACAGCGCCTCGACCAGCTTCTTGGGCTTCCTGGTAGAGGTGTTGGGCGGCGTGGGAGACGGCGGGTGCGAGACAGACGACTTCTTCTTCCGCGGGGAGTGCAGGGAGATGTCTTCAAGACGCTGCAGCTCGGTCTCCGACATGGACTTGCGACTGAGACTGAGACTGAGTTGGTTGAGCTGGTGAGCTCCGCTAGTAGCCGGATCGGCAGCTACTCCGAAAGCAAGCTCCTGGGAGTCCAGGCCGTGGCTCGCCGCGGACGCGGCCGGTCCCATGTGAGAGCTGTTGGAAAAGAAGTCGAATTCGTCTATCGACGAGACGGCCGACGAGGCAGTACCTGGGGCTGCCTGGGCCGCGAAGAACGAATCCGGTGCGCCGCCCATTGTCGTCGAGTCGCCCCCGCGGCTGTCGTCGAGGGGGTCCTTGGCGCCGCCATCTCCGTCAAAGTCCATAAACTGCCCGAACAGATCGCTCGATGCATCGGATGGCAGGCCGTCAGGCCCCTGTGCGTACATGCTGGCCTCTCTGTCGGCGGTAGGGTCAACCCGGAAAGGGGCGGTCCAGAAGGCCATTGAATGATCAATGTGGTGGGGGGAGGGTCGAATTCGGGAGTGGCGGACTGAACAGTCGTTGACGGATGCGGCTAGCATACAGCTTCTCATCAGAGCGAGGTGGCTTGTGATAAGTGATAAACACCAGATGCTGTACGACGCCGCTGGTGTTGACCGGATCCGACTATACAACCATGTAGGAGAGAAAGGTGAGCTGCAAGAAAGGGAGTGAGAACGGAAAAGGAGTGGAGTTGTGGCCCGAGTTTGGGGAGTTGGAAACTCAGCAGAGAAAAGATCTGAGTGTAAGAGACAGAGAGAGAGAGAGAGAGGCGAGGGCTATGGTAGGAAAGAAATGAAAGAAAGGGAGAAAAGAGGTCAACAGAGAAAGAGCGAGAGAGGAGAGATGAAGATGTGTCGAGCAGGCCGTCCCCAAGCACGGAGCGCATAGCAGGCTCAATTAACTAACCAACTCGTCCATCGTAAGTGCCGAATCGCAAACCGAGTGATGCCTCCGAAAAAGACACCACAGCAACCGCAGCTCTTCGTTCCTCGCCGAGTTTTCCCCATACGGAAGAGGAATGCACGAGGCCGTGGCGACGCATTCCAATGCCTTGCCCAGAGCTGTTGCCACAAGCAGCACACCGCAGCCTCATCATGGGCTCTCCCGCTAGTTCATCATAGCTGATGGCCCTCCAGCCAAAGAGATGCGAGAGAGGGAGAAGGCTATGGATCAAGAAGGTAATTAGACAAAGAGCCATGACGCTACCATCTGGCGCCGGCAACCTGCATTTGCATGTGTGTGGGGTGTTCCTATGCCAAAGGGTAACATGATCACCTGGCAGCAGCAACAGGCCTTCGCTCGGATCGGCCAGTGGATCGGGCCTCGAACATGCTGGTCGAGAACTGGCAGAGCTTTGGGGAGACGACGATCAGGATGAAACGATGCGATACGCGGCTCCGATGAGATGACCCTGCATATCGCCGGCCCTGGCAGCGGCAGCGGCAGCGGCCATGCACGGCGACGACAGCCAACTCACTCGTTCGCCCGTACTTCCGCCCTGCCTCTCGAGCAATTGCCGACTCGGCCTGTCTAGCTCGGTGCACTTGCAGCCAGCTCGTTTGCATTTCCATCGCCATCGTGAGCGTCGATCCTGCATCCCTGCGATCGAGTGCAACCGTACCTGTTCCTGGCTCCAGAAAGTTGAACCACCAAGACCATGCATAACCACGCGAGTGGTAGCAATGTTTCAGCGACGAATGTCATTGCCAAGTCAACAGCCGCCATCCAGGGAGGATGCCATTCGGCACCAGGACCGCTGGGCGGGTCCAGGCAACTGCCTCGAGCTCGTGCACAAAGGGCGGTGGTTCCCTAGAAGGCAGGGGAGGGGTGTTCGTGTCTCAAAAGATACAACTCGATCCTCTGTTTTAAGGATGTAGCACCGATCTCGCAAAGCCGTAGTCGTCCAGAGCCCATTCTAGTATCAGATCCGGAGCCTCAATGGCTCATCCAACACAATCTCGATCTGGCGTCCTGCCTCACAGGGATCACTCGACCCTCGCAGGTAGGGGAACCCCGTGGAGGAGATGAGAGAAAACAATGCGGAGACAGGGACGTAAGAGCCTCAGCATCCGAACATCTCACCAACTTGTCCAGCACGTGTCGGAGGGTGAGAAAGAGGCAATTTCCCTTGGGCGAGTGTAGCACCCATCTGGTGCCTGTGCTTGGGTTACACGACCCATGAAGCGGCTCTCGATTTCAGATTGAATCCGTCGATGCATCCGCTGTCTTTGCTGGTGCCTTGCAAACGCAGCCACCAAGCTCTCAGTCAACTCACCAGAAGGAGAGGGAGGAAGAGACAACAAAGGGCCCCAGCGTTGCGGTCCGGGACCTGCATACTGCAGATGCGCGCTGATTGGACAGAAAGTGGCCGCACAAGCTGTGCAGCAGGAAGCAAACAAACACGGTCACGACAAGAATAGAACAGACTGATGAGCTCATGCAGTAAGAGATGAAGGTCCTGTAGGTGTAGACGGTAGTTGGGGGGGAGAAAGGAAATGAAATCTGGAGCTCTAGAGGTAGCTTGGGGCAGATCAGCGGAAGAAGCTCACACCGCCTTCACTGCTTGCCCACGATAGTTACGGCAAGTGCTACTGAGAGTGACTAGCAAGTGGTTCTGTTAAGGTTAACTGCTAGATCGCTGCTAATCGCGGTTACCTTCCAGCTGGTAGAACCACAAAGTATCCCGTACCTGAATTGGCTCCAGAATTGCCCGCCAGCGCCCCAATCGGCGGCAGTACTAGGGACAAGCATCCGCACCGGTGCTAGTACGATGGAGCAGGTACCCGAGCCGAGCCCGGGCTGGCGGTAGTCTGGCGGATCCCATATCTAAGGTATGGTCCAAGTCGGACGCACAATCGCGATCCAGCAAGCACAGGTGGGATCATGAAGTAATACCCAAGGTACCATCCAATATCTATCTAAGTTGAACTCCGTCGGGGCCGTCGGCCGTTTGGCTTTGCATGCATCCGAGTGGACACACAATGAGTAGGAGAGACGCTGGCACCACGTGGATTGGGTAAGCAATACTGTAGCACGAAATGTGATATGTATGCACATGTACGGACTAACGATGCATATGTAGGACGACGGAGGCCGGGCGGGGCCACGCGAGAGGGCGAGTGAGAGAGGGTGAGATGACAGGAATCACTCAGTTTTCCATGTTCCATCTCCGTATCACGTCCAGCAGCCCGGTGCAAGAGCTACCAGTCATTACTACTAGCAGTGAAGCCATACTAGCTGTGCGAGCATGTGATAGTGCTCCTTAGTATAGGGAGGGAGGCAGTTCGCAGTGTCGTAGTATTGCTTGACCCCTACTCTGTCTGCATGTACGCGTGCTCTAGAGCAATCAGAATTTTCAGCACTTGATACGTCGCATCTCGTCCGTCTCCCACGTAGTGAAGCCATCCAAGTCCATGCATCGCAAGTCACACCGCGTCCCGTCCAACTCAGGTTGCTGTCAGTCCCAAAAGCATCCCAACCTAAATAGCCCGAATAACGCCGTACCCAGTCCAGTTATCAAAATGCACCTAGATGGATGCTTGCATGTTGCGCCATCCTTCCCCCGCCTGCACGGGACGAGTCAGACCCGACTCTTGCTCGGCCACCCCGGGACCGTATAAACCATGTATCCCACTCCGCTTGGCCATAACTCATGTCGTGGATGAGGAGCCGGTGCTTGCGTCCTCGTGAACAAGATCAAATAGAGGAGGGATTGAGACATCTTTTAGAAGAGTAGAAACAAGAGGCCAGTGTATGTGTTAGATGTGCCAAGGAGTTGACATCTTTCTTCTTTTGTAGTCCACATATGATGTGCACATGATGAATAGATAGCAACAATTTGAGAAATGAAAGGCCCGCCAAGCCCAAAACCATGCGCATACTAAATGCAATCCGATATGATTCCCCAAAACGCCACGTAAATATCGTGTTTTAGTCGTTGTTTGCGCGCCAACAACCGCTGTGAGAAGCCCATGTGTCGACTTCGTGATTAGCCTGCAGCCACTGTGGATGCCTGCGCTTGACTCGGCTCGCCGGTCGTGCCCTTCGACGCTCGGAGCCTGTGCTCCTTCTTCTTCTGCGTCCTCTTCCGCATTCGAGGAACATTCCGCACAAGCTTGGGGCATCGCATGGCCGCCTCGGCAGACGTGGTGAAGCTCAGAAGCCCTTGGCTTCTCAGGACTCCGGTGAGTCCACTAGAAGGCTTCTCGCCCAGCCATGGAAACTCGTCGGGTCCTTCGTCGTAGCCCTCATCGGCCTGCAAATCGGCGCCTGCCAGTTCACTCGGATCAATTTCGATAACAGGGGCCGGGCTTGAATTGGCAGGCAACGGAACAGAGTCCAATGCAGGCTGCGTGTTGGCCTGCATTCGGGCTAATACTCTGGAGGCAACGTCCGGATCAATGCTCGTCGCAGGAGCCACTGGTGCGATATGTGGAAGGGGACGGTACCGCCGCGATGGGCGGATGCTCTGAGTCCGTGATGATGATGTAGGTATAGAAGCATCGTTGTCGCATGTTTCGTCGACATCGATCTCCATGTGCATACTGTTGAAAGCACTCCAGCCGCTGTCAACCCGCGAGTGAGAGGACGAGTCCATGGGTGGTTGTGGTGATTGTGGGGCGAGAGGCGGCTGAGAGGTACGGGACTGGTTTTGCTGCTGCTGTAGAAGGGATTGTCGACTCATACGGCGAGAGAGCAACTCCATGAGAAGGCTGTCCTGTGATTGTTGGCGCTCCCGACCTCTGGGCCTGGGCATCGAGGAGGCATCCGAGGTGAAAATGGGCAAGGCCTCGGGCGTGAATGGCAGCTGGGGCACTGTCATGTCGTTGGTGACAGGCGCGCTGTGTGGCGAGGTCCGCTCAGGCTCCATGGTGGTGGTATTGTCGTCGTCCCGTCTCGGTGAGGGGTCACCTCATAACCAAGCATCCGCAGGTGAAAATGATGTCAGATATCCCAAGCTGCTGGCTCGCAGCAGCTGTCGACGGTAGCTGGGGCTTTGTCCCTTGATCCCCGCTATTACAGGCAATAGCCAACAACGTTGGTTTGGAAGTCGTCGTGCAGGGCAAAACACGATGATGGTGCAGTGATGCTCGGTGCAAGCGGCGATGTTGAACCCACGCTTTGGACAACCCGGTCTGTATCCGACAAGGCGGGTCAAAGTAGGTGAGTGCGTGTGTGGAGGAGGCGTCAGCTGGTGGTAAGGAGGAGGAGGAGAGGAAGAAGAAGAAGAAGAAAGGGACATGAAGTAAGAACCGAAGCCACAGAGAGGAGATCGGGGGGGCGGCTAAGATAGATGTACTCGTAGTGTTGCGGGCTAGAGGGAAAGCGCAAGCCCCCCCAGTCAATGATCTGGATGGGCAAGAGCTAAAAGTCTGCCACCTGGGAAGTGTCGACAGGTACCTAATGACCAGGTATCGACTGGGCCATGTGCTGGGATCCTGTACTTTTGGTGCCGGTCCGGACAGGGCGCTGTCGGCAGCGGCCGGGGGGGCAGCAGCGCGGTACCGGCTACAAGGGCGCGGCATGGCAGGTACAGGCATTGGATCGGCTTGTACATACGAGGACACCCCGTGCCTCGGGCCATCCAGGCTGGGCTGGCGCCAGCACCAGCACCAGCACCAGCACCAGCGCCAGCGCCAGCATCAGCACCTGTAGCGGCCAGCTGCTGTGCTGTAAAGGCGCCATCAGCAGCCCACTTGCCGAGACAAGACACTGTGCGCTACATGTATCGAATGGATGGGATCCAGGATCCATGGCATTTCATCGCTGCTGGGGCAGGGCTAGGCCAGGGATGGATGACAGCATGACACCTGGACAAGAGGCAGCGAGGCAGCAGGAAACCCTGGGTCCCGTTCCCACGGACAGCGGCGATGGTCCCGAAGGACGGGTCCAGGTGCTGAAGGGATGGATGGATAAATGCTGGGGGGGGCCAGTCCACGCCTGTGCACGCTGCACTGTGGGCACCTGGAACCGAGGCGGCCGACCGCAGCGCCGGGAACATTGAAGCCACTGAGCCCGCCGACGCCCACCTGCACCATTGAGTGCTCAGCGGACTGGATGGGGGTGGATTGGGCGCTACAGCTGCCACCGGCTAGCTGGAAGCGCCCTAGAGGGAGCTACGATCCGCTAATAGGGCAGTTCCGAGGGCTGGGACGAGTTGGGCAACGCCGCATCTGAGAAGATGAAAACATAAGTCGACCAGTCGCAGAATCCGATGAGTTTTCCGTTGATTCGACATGGGCAATGGCAGGGCAGCACAAGCAACGAGACGCATGGACGAGTTTTGGAAAAACCGGGCTGCTTTCTCCATGGCATCTGCTCTCCAGCACCTGAACCATTTCTGCCTTGCTCCGCTCTGTAGAGACCTAGGAATGGCAGTTCGGAGCCTAAGCAGCCAATCACCACCAGCTCCCGTTGTTGGAACTTTCATGGGCCCTCCATTTCGTCCCTCCAGCTGTAGGTTGTTTCCTATAATTAGGTGGATTCAACGCGACATAAAGCTACTTACGCCGCAGACAGTTGAAGCGCATCCGAGCTGGTCCAGATACCCGCCAGTGGTGTGCCAGCCCCCCTCCGCCTGCGCCTACAACAGAGAGTGACGCCGAGAGGACGAGTCCAATGTCCAGGTAGAGGTACAGCCAGTCGTGGCATCTCAGCCGCGTGTGAGTGAGCAAGCCGCACATACAAATTTGTATAGGCACATGTTCGGACCGGCTGAGTTGACTTGAGGTGCGCATCGGAGCGGGCTGGCTCGGAGTTTGATGGCAGTTGACCTCTTCTCATTCGTACGGCAACACCCTTTCGGTGCCTATTGGAGACGTCAGAGTGCGATATGGATGGAAAAGGCTGCACGAGGCTGCGCCTTGAGCGTTTCCCGTGCATCTGAAGGGCGGTTTTGCTTCTGTCTGAGTGTCGGTCGTCGGGAGATTCACATCAAGCCCTGTACAGTACTGTACAGATACTTGGCAGTACGGAGCCAACAGCGCCTTTCCCCGGGCCAAAGACGAGGTGGGTTAAACGAGGCAGGGCAGCAGTCCTGGGTACATGTACGTCTGGGGCTTTCAAAGGGGTCGAAGCAAGGCGTCGGGCTATGCAGCCGTTGAGAGACATCAAATGTCAGTGATTTATCACGATGAGCGTGACTTTTTGGGGTGATCTAGGATATGCGGTGCATATCCATTCATAGAGCCAAACGATCAAATGGTTCACATAATACATGTATAATATAAGTACTCGTGAGTGAGTGTGCGTGTCCTAGCGCTGCCAGTTTTGTTCTGGTCACATTTCCGTGCTCCCTCTTTATCGCCTCTTTACCATCCAATGTTACATAGGCGCCCTCTTCCCTCTCGTCACCATGTCCGGCCGCCAACTCGATGTTTCGGGCATACTTTTTGACACATGTCTCTCTTCCAGACCACTTTATGATATCACTTGACCACTCAAGCCCAAATAGCCGTGTGTTTGTGCAGCCTCGCGCGGCTCTTCTAGCGCCTGCGATGCCAGAGATTCCGACAATCTGGTTCTGGGTACTATCAGGGCTTTCTGTACATACCAGCAGCTTCCGCTTACCCACCCTCACAAGCAGGGTTCAGGCCAACTGGAAGGCGTCGGGTCGAATCTACATGTATCCGCTAGCCCATCCACTTACAATCCCGTTCAATATTCAATCTCTGCCTGTCTTCTTCTTTTCTTTTTCCTCTCTCTGCCGCCATCCCCAGAGTCCGTCCGCCCTGGGTCCGCAGTAAAATGGAGGCCAGGGTCGGGCTGGAGCAAATCCCGGTCTGCAGGGCTGTCGCGCCCTCTCCCGGTTTTCTTCACCTTGCTGTGACGCTGCCGGCTACCTACTATGTCCTCACTGACACCTGATGGTTTTAATCCATTATTACATAGGTATCCAAGGATGCAATCCCAGCGAATCGGCTCGGCGCCACTACGAAACGGTCTTGCGATTGGTCCATGTACGAGGCCTTCAAGGGGGCCTTCTCGGAACACGCTTCCCATCACGGCTAATATCTCCAGCAACCTGGTCCAATGATGCCTGTCGTTCGTGATGATTGCGGTACATACAAGGAGGTCACGGGCTCTCGAGTCAGAAAAGCACATGCGAGTATTATGGCACTAATCCCAGTGACAGATGTCCCCTTCAATCCCCCCCTTGACGGCATTGACTATCATCAATGCGGGTCAAATGCCACGCTCTCTGGTGTAGTGCCGAAGCGCGAGAGGCTCATCTCGTCCGTGCTGGTCGTGTTTCGAGGATCACTCTGACAAGGAGGCCGCGCTACCACATGGTCAAACAAGCATGAGGTTTGCACGCGTGCTTGCAGCCGCATAATATGCACCGTTGCTTCATGTTGTGTGCTTGTAGTACGGACCACAAATGCTTGACGGCCTTGTCGAAACATTCAAGGAACATCCGCAAGTGCTCAGTTACGAACATTGAGAATTAGAAATACACTGTTGATTTGCTCACCTGCATACATGTACATCACATACAGGATCACATAATCACTGTCGGCCACGGGGCTAATTATCTATCATTTCCTGCGTGAGTCCATCGGCTGCCGAATCTCTCCTTCATCCCCAAGGTCCCTCATGAGTTGTCCGAGATTAGGCGAGTTGACGTTCGCCAGTGGGAAAGCCAAGAGCCAAGAGGGCAAATTCACACAAGCAAGGTTGCCCAACGCTGGATGCTATTACTACTGTCAGAGTATGCTCCAATACGATGTTCGGGCAATCCTTGAGACCAGCATCTACCAACCCCGGCTGCATCACACGTGCTATCAACCTGGCATTCATGGTTCCAGTCAACTCTCGCTACTCCGTACTAGTAGTAACCTTGGCTTTTGCTTGTCTGACAAGCTGTTTAGGTACGTAGTACCATATGACCGCACTCCTTGGTACGAGTAATATATCGGAACCCGTTCCGTGGACCGAGCGTTTGGGTTCAGGGCACGACACCGCTTTCTTCAAGGCCCGAAGCCCATGCCGACTCCAAAGCAAAGCCATTCCAAAATCCGGGCAAATGCCGTACGATCCTCGTCGCTTGTCAAGAAGACGGATACTACCATGTAGAAGCACCGCACACTGTACGGAGTCGGGAGCAATCTATGGTTAGCAAAGTAACGTGTCGACACGATGGGACCAGCCACGAGGTAGGTTGTCAAGGATGATGTCAATCCAGAAGAGAAAAAGAAAGAAAGAAAAAACAGAGGTTTCGGTTGGATCCACGTCAATCACATTATGCCCCTCGTACGAAAGGGGCATTGGCTGCGGTGTCATTCGGCGTACCACCTTGATGCAAAATCTCGGCATCTTGCGGTGCCTACTGGTTGTGTTACATATACCGCTACCCCAGGGCAGCAGTTGAGCCTCGAGCATGACCGTCTGGTATAAGCATGTAGGCACTGCCTGTGTAAAAGCTCGAGTTACCTAGATCTTTGCAGTCCCTCTTCAGTAGGTAATGTCAACGGAAAATTTGTCCATTTCATTCGAACAACATCTAAGATATCACGACTCCATGGCCTATAACCTGCTCCCATAATCTATCAATGAGTAAGTAAACTACCGACATTTGTTTACTCATTACAACCTGAACTACTATATCACGCGAAGTAGGAGTATATACATGCATGTCTTTTGAGCAAAGGCACCTCCCTCATCACCCAAGATGAGACGAGGACGCCTTTGCTGTACCTGCATATAAAGAATACATAGTACGTACATGATGGTCACCTGAAATACCACCACATTGGTGTATCTATGTATTCCACCCTCCCTCACTATATGTCTGGAGCTTTCCATCACGGTCCGCCCTTCCGCTACCAGGGAATTTCGGAGCCGATACCTCACAATCATGTGTATAGCACCGGCCCAATCCTTGCAATGCTACCAGCGGGTTTGGCAATGCGTGGACGCCGGCCAATATCTTGATGGCCGTCGCTGTCTCCTGCAACAATCCAGCTGTTCCGGTGAACGACACGCGGAGCAGGGAGTCCATGTGCCATACCTACATGTTGGTAATGCCATGCGGCCGCATGAGTACTGTACTACACATGTACTGCAAGGGCTCTACGTATGCTCTCGGGGCCATTCCACAACTCCTACAAAACACGACGGATACTATACAAGTACATATATACGAACAGCCGAATCAGACGCCATTCCGGGGGAATACAACCCACTCCGTCGGTCCAGCGCTTGCCAGACAGCTCGCTTCCAGCTATCGGGTTCGTCTTTGACCAAACTCCCCAAATGTCAGAATTTTGCCCAGCCCACTCTCACTCCCTTGTTCCGAGGCTTCGGTTTCCAGATCAAAGCAGAAACTCCGGCCCTGGGTGACGATACCTCCAGAACCCATAGTACTACTAGTAGTACCTGGAGGCGGACCCTTGCCGGGAAGAGAGGCTCCGCTGAATTCCAATGTTCTTGTTCCAGCCCCCATGTCAGACCAAATTATCCCACAAACCAACAGCAATGCCGTGCCAAAAGGGGCAATGCTCGCTTTTCCCTGCCTGTCTAGAGAATGGCACAGCACACTAGCAGGGACCGATCAAAATCCTATTCATGGCAGGGACCTACTACCAAGCTATGAGAATGTAGCCGATGATATTAATACTACTACTGGGGAGTTGTGGGCAAATTCTGTTGGTGGCGTAGCTCGCCAAGCTCAATTCATTACTGAATGAGGCAGTTGAGCGGAGCAGTTGTGCTGGTGAGGCTTACAGCTGATGTTGCAAATGGGAGTAAATACGAAGAACCTGGAGCAACAGAATCCCGTCTCTTCGGGACCCCCTTCTTCTTTCTTTCACATGGCATGAGGTCTGCCGCGGTCATATTCGACAGAAGGCCGAGACGTTTATTGGGCCTCCATGCGCTTGAAACGCCTGCTGGCGGAGACCTCTGCCAGCCAAGAGCCAAGCTTTGCAGGCGACGGCGAGGCTGCTTGCTATTGTTTCTTGGCTGTTCTTACGTTTTTGTTTCTTCTGTGCTGATGTTGCCGGGTCTGGAATACGAGATATACGTCTTTCCCTTGTTTCTTTCTCTCCTGATTCCATCTGTCACTTGCACATCCCGAGTGCATTCCTAGCCTCCGGTCTGATCTCTGACGTCTCACGCGGCATATTCCCAACCAGTACATACATAAACCCGTCGCAGCAGCTAAGAAAGAAGAAGATGATGATGATGAGATAAAAATGTCTCCCCGACACGGATAGAGGACGGGCGCTCAATGCGGCATGTGGCATGGTCGTTTGCTCTTTCCGGTGCCCTTGAGAAGCCGGGTATCAGGCCCCCGTGTTCCTAACGTCTGCGTGTAGATGTATTGACATGCCGTCTGGGAACGTGTAAATATAGCTATCGGGCAGAGCTGCGATATACATGCACATACATGCCTGATAGTGTCAGCTGTATGCCTGAGTGAAGCCGCAAGCTTCTGAGACTTGCTAGCACAGCGATGATCTAATTGCGTGTCTTACCCTACACATAGATAGTTGCAGGAGGAAAAGAAGCAAAGAGAATAGATAGGTGCTGATGAAGAACAGAGAGTCGATCAATTACATCTGATACATCGATTGTAGTGCAAGTTGCGCATCACATATTGATTTGATCTTATACCTACACTGTCCACGGACAGGAGGTTTGGTGTCTGATGCACCCGACACGTTATAAAGATGTGAACCTCCTTTGACGTGGTGATCCGGAGAGTACTGCCATGCCCAGGCAGCGTTCAACAAATTGCTGTTTCGACACGGCTGGGAATCTTCAATACATGTATCAAGATTGCTGCGACGTGCGCTCACAGGTACACTCTGATGACACGGTCGTGGAAGTATTCATGGCAAAGTAATATCAGAGGTAGAATGAGGGCGTCAATACACACCTCAGGCATTTGCAAGTTGAGGCCATCTGTCTGGATTAGGTACAGCTTCAATAGGGGGAGACATTTCCGGACATGGGAAGAGAGCTTCAAGTCGAGTTGTTGCCGTAGCTGCCAGTGTGTGTTCTATTTCGAGCCCATAGCAACGTCAACGTCAACGGAAGTGATTAGGTGATGCATTGTGCAACCGTATTGGTGCACCTCAAATGTCCATCAACTGCCGTCCAGTCTGCAAGTGGCCCCCCTGTGCTGTAAACCGCCCTGTGAGCCTCGTGGTGGAAGCGCTGACGAAGGCGCCTAACGAGCGCTGCCGGCCAATGGAGGCGCAGAGGCGGGGGCGCTGAAGGGCGATTCCAAACCAAACCAACGGGGGGTTCGTTGGATTGATGGACCCGACACCTCTGGCGAGGCGCGGCGATGCAGCGCCTACGAGTAGATAGAGAGAGAGGATGGATGAATTGTGACGGCCTCCAAGATTCTATAATAGGTACCTAATGTACCCTCGCCTGGATGCCGTCCGTTGAGGAAATCCACAACTGTCGACTCCAGCGATATCGACTGCCAGAATAGAGTGCAGGTGGCGTGATTGTCAATCAATCAATCAATCAATCACTCATTCACTCATTCATCCAGTCATCAGATTGGTTGCATCCCTCCAGTCCTCGGCTGAGCTAATCGATAGGTACAATACATGTGCCCCAGCGCGCGGCCTCTCCAACTCTGTACAACACCCAACATACATAGCGGGGCTCTTGGCCGTCTTACATTTGAGCGACCTCGACCAGCTCCAACTGCGTCCTTTCGTCCTTTGCTTCCTCGTCGTCTTCTCTTGTCCCTCCTCCTTCGTCGTCGTCCTCCTCATTCTATCCGGCACATCGTCATCTTTCCGACTCCATCACCGTCGTCATGTCCGGCCAGCAGCAGCAGCACTTCTATCCGCGTATGTCTCCCCTCCCCAAGAATCGTCGGCTTCACCACCACAAGTCTCCAAATACTGACTCACGACATCACCACAGCTCCGCCTGGCGCTGGCGCAGGTCAAGGTCCGTCCGAGAAAGCCATTGCGACAAGACTCGACTCTACACTACAGTTCCAATCCTAACCCAACCAACCTACAGCGCCGCCTCCCCAGCAGCAGCAGCAATACGCTCCTCCTCCCCAGCAGTATCAGTCGCCGCCCCAGCATCAATATGCGCCTCCCCCGACCTCGCCCCCCGCGAACCAGACGCACTTCTACCCTCCTCCCCAGGGCACTCCCGGACAGCCCAGCTACGCTCCGCCGCCCCAGCACACGCCCTCTCCCCAGATCCAGCAGCCTACGCCGGGCCATTACCCGCCGCCTCCCAGTAGCCAGACGCCTCAACACCAACACTCGTCATCACAGCAGATGAACTTGGCCTTGCGCCCGGCGGCAACTCCCGACTCGGGCCACTACCAGCAGGTACAATCGCCGCCGCCGCCTCAGCAGCAGCAGCAACAACACCAGCAGCAACCGATTCAACATCAGCAGCAGCAATCACAGCAATTCTCTCCCCCGCCGTTCCCCCAACAGCAGCAGAATGCGCCCTATCCCCAGGAGAAGCCGCCGATGCAGACTAACCTCAATAACCCGGCGAATCTGGTCGGTGGAGCCCCGCCGCCGACACACTTTGTGGGAGCTGTTGCGACGAGTGACGACGTCGGAACCTTTAACGGCGGAAGCTATCGCATCAGCCACCGGGACACCAACACCATCTTGACCGTCCAGCTAGCCGTGGGCTGCCCACTGCATGCAAAGCCAGGTAGGTTGCCGAGGAGCGAGAATTGCTGCGTTGCTCTGCTCAAAGCTAACGTACGGTAGGTGCCATGGTTGCCATGTCTCCGACCATCACCCTCAAGGGCAATGTCAAATTTAGCGTCAAGAAGATTATCGCAGGCGGAGAGCTGTCAAGTTCAACGTACACGGGTCCGGGAGAGCTTATCCTCGCGCCCTCCGCTCTGGGCGACATCACCAGCATCAGACTGACCGGCCAGGAGCAGTGGTCAGTGGGACATGACGCTTACTTGGCGTCCACGCAAGCCGTTGTCAAGGATTACAAGCGTCAGGGTCTGGGCAAGGCCATCTTCAGTGGCGAGGGTCTGTTTGTCTACAAGATCTCGGGTACCGGCCTGCTCTGGGTCTCGAGTTTTGGCGCCATCATTAGGAAAGACGTGAGTATATGAATACCGCCCTCTGGGCTGTGCACGACGACATGCTAACCTGGATCCATAGCTCGCTGCAGGGGAAAAGTACATCGTGGACAATGGCCACCTTGTGGCATGGAATACCAGCTACGTCTTGGAGCGTGTAGCCTCTGGCGGTCTAATTTCTGGTCTCTCTTCAGGAGAAGGCCTAGTCTGCAAGTTTACCGGTCCTGGCACCGTCTTCCTGCAGACAAGGAACCCCAGAGAATTTGCTGTCTTCCTTGGCGGCATTGCCCCTCAGAATGCGTAAAGGGGGGCTGACGAATCTCTGGCCAGAGAGTTGCTATGATCTCTGGCACTTACACAAAATGGCTGACGATATATCTGCCGTTCGCTTTTTTTTTTCCCCTGGACAAAGCTTTTGGAATATTATTCACTGTTCTTTTGTATCATCTCGTTGGAAATTCAGCACTTGCTAGGATTTGAGTTCAGCGATGGAGGCCATTTCAAACTTGTTTACTATTTCATGACTCGCCTATGTATGTTTGCACCGGGTTGCCGTGTATCACGATCTCCCTGTTCACATGCTCGAGACTGTGTATACTATCCTTGTCTTTTTCTCATCGACTCAGCGTGTCCGTAACGAATGAGGCAGTTATAAGAGGCCAAGCAGCAGGATAGATTTACCTTTCTTTTCTGTGCCTGACAAGGCAGATAGATAAGCAAAGTGAGTTGCGACTACCAACCCAACAGATGCACTTGCCTACGTATCACAACACATGTCAAACGTGGGAACCAGCTGACTCGTGTACGCATTACAGTCTCGAGGTAGGCGTGATTGAGGCATACTGACGCCCTGGTTGCCATAGCAAGCACTCTTGAGGCTGGCCTGGAGCGAGTCCGCTCGTCCTTTGGATTCTTCTTCCGAACAACACTCAGTACGTCTGTACGGGAAGCCCATCGTTGCAGTTCCGCTTCTCTCATCAGCCGTTTCTTTTTGGCATTTGAGCGTCTTCGTTTCTTTTTCTTTTTGTCTTTCCACTTAAAGATTCAGCGCCTCCCCCCCCTCGCGAAATTTTTGGCCCCGGATATCTCCAGCTGTCTGCCAGTTGCCAGCTACTGTCAGACTCCAGCTCAGCCCTTCTTCTGCTCCGACATCGTCTGCCTCTCTTGCTTCCTTTCTCATCTCTTGGTTGCTCTTGGCGCAACTGCTTCCTTTTGCGCGGTTGTTGGGACAGCGCCTGGAGGGATTCACTTGAGCGGACTTTTGTTTGTTTCGCGGTTCTTTCTGTTTCGACATCATTGGATTAGAGAAGCGTTGCTATTCGAAGAAGGAGGAAAGGAAGAGGCTGCAGAAGAGCCATCTCCCAAGAATTCAGCCCCTAGGAGCCTTCGATTCCCACCAAGACAGCTCCAAGCTCCAGATATTGATCGAACCATCGACAACAACCTAGCACTCGACTGTTCCTCAGCCTGCCACCTGGTAATTAAACCAAGACACGCTCGCCCCTTTTGTGCTAAAAGCTTCAGCTGACATTGACCTGTCAGGCTTGAAATGGCCGTCGCCAGCATTCTCGGACAGTACAAACGGGCACAACCCTCTGCTGCCATGACCAAAGAGGGAACATCAAAGAACGAAACCCGCAGCAAGCCCTTGGGCCCCTCTCATGACTACCAACGATTGAAGAAGCTCAACTCTCAGCAGGCTCTTGACAACCCAGATTGGCGAACGCGCCCTTCCGACTCCAGTGGCTCGTCGACTCGGGACGACGAACAGAAGCTGCGCGCCCTGATCGGTGCTGCGAAGCAGTGGTCTGAGGTGGAAGCCTCCCCCATCACTCCATCAGCCGTGGACAAGGGCCACAGGAGACGCTCATACGGCCCTCAGCCAACCACTGACTCGTCCCAAGATGGTGCGACCGACAGCGAGTCGAAACACAAAAGGCGCAATGTGTATTCTCTGTCATCAGAGTTGGAGCCCGCAATCGTCAAGACCATGAACGAGGAAAAGCCCGTCCAGTACGAGGTGTTGAAGCAGATCTGCCTCTCGTCCTCGCGTGAGCATCCCTTGAGCCTCTTTGAAGTCGTCCCTCTCGGCACAGTCTCTGGCTACCTGTCGCCATCCGTCGTCGACATTCGGCCCCTGAAGGAAAATGTCGCACCGAGGAGATCATACACTGCTCAGAGTGAGCACATGTCAGCGGCACTCATGGTTGCCGGGAACACGCCCAACAAGGTTCGAGTCCTCCCAAAGCCTCCTGTGCACAAGGAAGAAGCACAGAAGAAGTATACCACCCCGGACCGGCTGCAACAACGGAGCAAGGCCACTGAGCAACCGGAAACGTCTATTACGCCAAATAACAGGAGCGATCCTCGTTCCAATGAGCGGCTGTCTCCTGGCCAGACAGCACGTTTGGTGACCGAAGGAGGGCCTGCGGCAGCGGCCGAGGCCGAGCGAGACCAGGCCTTTCGGCGATTTCTCAGAAGACTAGTCCAAAAGAACAAGGGCTTGCAGACTGAGAAGCCTCAGCAACGGACTGTTGGGTATCATGGCAATGCAAAAGAAGACGATCGACAGGGTTCAACTGACACCTGCGTGCTACGAAATCGGGTCAATGGGAGCGATGGACGGAAAGAGATTGCTTCGACATACTTCATGAACCATCAGGCACGAAGCTCCGAGATCTCTCCCAAGGACAAGCGAGCACGTCTTCCGGCTGGGGAAACTGTCAAGTTCAAGGACTTGAATCCCAAGGCACGAGAGTTTCTGTCTTTTGTTAACCAAAGCCCCAACGCAGGGAACGGCAGCACGTTGGCTTATCACCCGCTTCCACCTCTTCCAACCCAGGTAGCAAAGCCTGTCGTCGACAAGAATGGGCAGCCTGATGCCCCGTCTCTTTCCGGGTCTGGTCTGCCCAATATTTCTCCTCCTCCAGGACTCGGTCTGCCTAATGTCCCTCCCCATTTGGCGATTGGGCTGCCCACTGGTTCTACGTTTCAGCAGCAGCAACTGCCACCACCATATGGGTTTATGCCGTCTGCTGCCCCTGATACGACGATAGAGTCCATGGCTTTCAACAACTCGATACCAGGAAGATTGGTGCCGCTACCAATGACCACGGATCACTCAGGGGGCCCATTTCAGGCGCCTGCTATACCAATGCCGCCGCTGCCTCCGCTCCTCCCAGCAATGTTTAGACCGCAGACGGTGATGCAAAACATGATGGGAAATACAAGCACATGGGGCTTTCCGCCGGCGCCGATGACGAGTGCTGCGTACCCCTGGATGGGTGGTTCCATCAGCCCAGGCTTCAACATGCCTCCATACCAGATGCCGTCCATGGCGGACATCCACCAGCCACCGCAGCCGGTGCCCAAGCCTCGGCGTCCTGATCCAGGAGATCAACAGGCATACGAGGCGTGGATCGAGTGGCGCAAGGCCAACGAGCCGGGCTATGCCCTCGAGTGCCGTCTCCGACAACAGCGACGAGCTCAGCGGAGCATGACGGACAGGGGAGGGAGCAAGCACACCATGCAGAAGAGCGAAGCTTCTGCTGCGTCGTGAGGCGTACGGCATCGGACGTAGTGGTGATGCCTTCGGATACGAAGCTTGGCCCGACGCTCTTGGTGGCGCCTCAGGGAGCAGTACCCGTGTGGAGATGTCAGAGAGGAACGCCCCTTTCCCCCCAGCCCACTAGCTTTACATCCAAACGTTCTACTACTTCTGTTTCTTCTTGTTTCAATTTTCTTTATACTTTACACTGTTCGGCCGCATCATGCAGATCTTCGGAATCAGCCGCAACGGAGTGGATATGATTTGTTTTGAACATGTCTTCCGATTGCTCGTTTGGGGCCGTCAGGTGATGGCCGACTCCAGGGTTACCCCTTGATGGGGGTGGGTGGTCGGTTGTGGCCTGGTGGTGATTGGGCGGTGATTGGCACAATTACGAGCGGCGAGGTAATGGGCTGACTTGTATGGACTGGATTGTCAAGTTGCTTGGAGCAATTGTGTATGAATAGCTACGTTACGTTACGTTACTTGTGGCTTGGATTTTGGTGGCTCCAAGGCATGGGGAAGGAGACTGAAGTGAGGGAACTACGCCAGGGGCTGTGAGCTCTTGGGGTAACGGAGCGTCTTGTGTGGCACAGCAGTTAATCAGATTGTGAGATTAACTAGCCTTTAAAGCATACCATATGCATGGTTATCCCTCCACACCTCACTCTCTTGTCTACAAATGGTATCATCTGCCGCTCGTATGATATAGAAGTTGGGTAGGCAGCAGGTAAGAGGATCAAGCACGATGCTGCTACAGATTATAGGCTCCGAGTATTTGGAATCAAGAGACGTGAGTCTATCAAGCGAGACGGGGTGACTCAGGGGGATTCGGAAGGACTCAGGAAGAACGACAAGAAGGGTCTTGAATTCGAGGGAAAATGTAGGATGAATGTGGGATTGTGCATACTGGTAGCTTTTGTCTCTGATGCTGTGGAGAGGGGAACTTTTGATGCATATACGAAGAGTTTTGGCTATGTAGGGAGAACGTTTTTTTTTGCCGTGATGTGCGAGGCGTAGTGATTGTCGCGAAGGATTGATGAACAGGGCGCAAGGGTAGGTAATGAGTATGTAGGTAGGGAGGTAGGTAGGTAATACTGAGCCAAGGAAGACTACCTCTGACAAAGAGATTGGTGTTAGAGGCGTGGAGGATATATAACTTATTACGGGTATTTTTAGGAAAGGAATCTCAAGAGGAAGAGGGAGATTTCTTTTTTTATATTTGAGTGTATGTCTGAGACATACATGTACGGGCTTGACGGCATGGAAAAAGGGGGGGCTGAGGAGGGACTTTGTACGGTAGGAAGCTTTTTGTTACGCCACTTGGTTATTCATATAGTACTTGTTGTTTTTTGCGTCAACTTCGATGGCCATTGATAAGTGATTGGCTGTTTGCAGATAAGAGAATTCATCAGGAGGGCTAAATCTATCTTCTGATGAGATCGCGGGTTTGGGGAGGGAGGGATTTGTGTGGGCTAATTTGGTGGCTTTTGTTTTGATATTGTGCGACGGCGAGGCGTTTTTTGTGGTGATCTCGCTGTCTCCGATTTCCCCCTTTCAGTTGTCCACTACCTTGATATAGTAGCAGTGAATCGTGTTTTATGTGTACTTACCTATAAAGTGAATGATTGTCCTGTCTGTATGCGCGTTACTTTAGATGAGTTGGAATGGGGTCACACACGGGAGATGGCCATGCTGGGTTTCGATATCGCCTGAATTTCTGTTGTTCTCTGACGTGTATGTATGGAAATTCCCAAACTAATATATGATGTAGTGATTTAGTTTTGATTACACTTGCTTTTTTGTCGTGATGTTTGGCTTTGTGTGCTTGGCTGCTGATGGCGATGCATTTTTTTTTCCGGTAAGCCAGTCCAGATGTTTTCCCTTGCTTCTGTTCTTCACTCGCTTCGTGTCTAATGGTACAGTATCTGACATGCTTTTTACCTGCATCCTACAACCCGTCAGAAGGGCAAACGCCTTGCCCATCTGACCGAAATCGTCTCTCCTGGTCCGGTTGATCTTTTTTGTCCTGCCTTTTTTTCTCCCCCGGTGGCTTGCTCGCCTTCTTTTTTTGTTCTCTTTCAGAATGCTTCTGCCTGATGTACTTTGACGTACATCCATCTGCAGAGAAATATAGTCATTGTGGGAAAAAAAAAAAAGGCAACGCCTATTCGCAATGCACTCTGTGTGACACAGCATAAAAAGGAGGGGGAGGGGGGGGGGGGGGGCGTGTCTATAACTGTTCTCAGTCTGATTCGCTGGGTAAGCTTGGTGAATTTGGAGATGGCTGCTGGGTGCCAAATTGAAGGCACTTGTTCGAAGCTGCATATCACGCCTCGAGTGTTTTTATTTTTTATTTTTTTTTTGCCCAATGGTAGGACTTTGTCTTGGAGCAGAGCCGCAAAGAAATATGTAGAGTGATGGATATGAGAATCGATGTCCCAAGAGGGTTTCATTCTTGCCGATGCTTTTATTACACCTTGTCTTACTGCGTAGGCACATAACTCTGCTGTTCTGTCGTAATCTACGGGCTGGATCACGGTCCTAGGTATTGAATGATTTTTGAAGGCGCATGTGGGACAGTAAAGTACGTTTCCTGACGTATGCAGTCCAGCAGAGCTATTCGTTTGTTTGCGTATCAGTCACCTCGACATCTTTTCCTCTCGGCCAAAGACTCCCGACCACGAAATTGACCAACATCCTCCCCTATCTAACACCGATCAACACAACCTGATCCTTCACAGATCTCAAACAAGTCTGAAAGAACACCCCAGAACATCGCGGAAACAAATCTTAGAAACTCATCTGCCTGAAACGGGCAAAGTCCTATCTGGAAAAAGAAAAGTCATTCAAGATCCGCCAACATCGCCCCATTCTCCCTAGAACTACCTAGGACACAAGAAACCTATCAACAAGGACAACGTAATTTACTAACACACCCCGACACACAAAACACAGGGACACACAAGGAGATGAACACAACAAGCCCCAAAAAAAAAAAATGCAGAAAAAGATCCCCCAGTGTCGTACTGACCCAGAAAATCCTCCTTTAGGGCTGACAAGGCAGAAAAAAACAGCGAGATTCGCCCCCCTTCTCTCTCCCCCCTTTATCCACAAACTCTGAATATTCTCTCCCATCACCCTCTTAATCAAAAACATTACTGGGTTGCCTTTACAAGTGCTACTACCTTACCATTACATCACCCAAATGTCTACCTTTGTATCAGCAACATATACCTTCAGGCAAACCCATTGGCTCTCATCAATGTTCAGTGGCATCGTCCCAAGGCTGTCCCACAAAACGAATGAAATGAAGGAAGGGAAACAGGGGACCAGAAATCGTCCCTCCCTACGCCTTGCGTCAGGCCCCCACGGGGGGTCACTCCAACGTCAAAAAATCTAGAAGTGTCCCCCAATGTTGAGGCTCTGCATGTTCTTTCCCCCCTCCAGCAGGAACGTCTCCCGGCCAAAGAATCAACGGGAATCCTGGGCCGGCAGGACGTGCCCTGTTTCAGGTCTGCGAACCATGGGGGCCGATTCTCACAAGGCTACTACTAGTATGTGCGTGAATGTCGGTTTCATCGTGATAATGGAGGCGAAAAGCCTGCAGTACATCTTATCTAGTCTATCGTATCCATCCATCCCATCCAGTCTATCCCATGTTTTTTTGAAAGAGTTTCAGAAGCTTCGTGGGAGCACGTGTGTAGATTCAAGACGAACAGGAGAAATTTAGGAAAAAAAATTACAATGTAACAAATGGAAAACGATACAGTAAAGAAGGGCAGCGTGCCAGAATCCCATAGTCCGTACCAACAAGGTGTATACCCAAACTCTACCAAGCAAATCAAAACCACCAAAACCAAACAATAGACTGAAGGAAATAGGTAGTTGAACAATCTCAAATCCAGATTTTTTATCCCAATAACACACAAGGAGAAGACAAAGAAACATAGGGAACCAGACTACTCCTCGTCATCAGGAGTGGCCATTCTATACTCAGTGTCACCTTTAAGGGGGTCGCAGAGCTCCCAGCCCGTCTCCGTCTTCTTGACGATGCGGATGTCGGGGCGCTGAGCCCACTCGGTGAGAACGGTGTCATGGGGACCGCCAAACTCAACCGGAGGCTCCCTGCCGGCAGCTGCGTTGTCAAAGTGCTGCTGGGCCACGTGCTCCATCCGCTCATCCCAGGCGTTTGCGCCGGTAAAGGTCTTGTCGCACGACTGCACGGGGCAAGGCATCCAGGTCGGGAGCCTGCACCGGATGCGCAGGGCATCCTCCTGCATCTTCTTGACCATGCAGTCGGATCGCGCGTCCGCCCCCTTGTAGTCCGTCGTGTTCTGGCCAGTGATTGTGGCGTGCATCCGTCGGATGTGCTGCGTGTATAGATCCTTGCGGTTGAAGATGTTGCCGAACATAGGCAGGCCCGCGTATCGCTGGCAGGCTGACTGCCGCTCCTCGGCGCACTTGCCCTCGGTGCAGACCCAGTACCTCAGGCCGAGATGCTTCGTGCTGACGTGCCGCTTCCACTCGTTCTTTGCATCGAACCTAGCGGTGCAGCCGGCGTAGTGGAAGACGCAGATGTAGGGTCGAGGGTGCTCAAGGTTCGTGTGCTCCTCGAGCGTCGTTCGGCTTTGGAAGTTCTTCTTGCACTTGTGGCAGAACCGCTTGTTGGTGATGTGAGTCTTGCGCCTCTTGTCGCCCTGCGACGAACATTCGTTGTCGGGAGAGGCTCGCTTGTTGGAGACGGGCTCCAAGTCGCTTCGAGAGCTATACGGATGCCTTTTTGCGGGTTTGGCGATGGAGACCTTTTCGTCCGCACTCGATGACAGGCTCTCTTCTTTGATGTGTCTGCCTGAGTTGACGTAAGGAAGAGTGGTCGAGAAAGAGCCCATGTGACCATTGAATGCGTTGCCAGCGGGCATCAGGGGGCTGCCGTTGGGGGCTGAACCGAACACGTATGGGCCATTGAGCGTGACCATGTCCATGCCGCCATAGTACGATGAGTCTGGGTAGAAGCTGGCGTCTGACTGATCCACGTTGGAGTCGTAGGAGTAGTCAGAGTCGTATGAGTTTCCGAGCGAGAGATGCGCGTCCGGCGGCGTAGCTGGGTCCACAATCTCATAGTTGGCATCGCTGCCAATCGACGGGCTTTCAATCAAGCTGAAGGCCGGCGAAGGCTGAAAGGAGAAGGGCGAGTCATTTCGCCCGACTGCTGGCTGATAGAGGCTCGCGGCGCCGGGCGCAAGACTGGGGTCGAGACAAGCATCGCTGGATGGTTGCTGATAGTAGGACATGTCCTGCACTCCCCAGAGCTGCTGGCCACCATCTGTCGACTCTCGTAGCAACGGGTCGATTGGCTGATAGAGATGGTCTCCTCCCATGGATGCGTGGGGTAGGGAGACGGGCACTTCGTACTCATAGACAACCCGTCCACCCTGCACAATGGTTGGCGTGGAGTAAGGGGGAAGAGAGGAGGCAGCAGAGGTGGAAGTTTGTGCAGCCATTCTGATGAACTATATATAGTATATGTTTTCTTCTTCTTTTCCCTTGTGTTTGAAACAGGGCGATCGAAAAGGGCTGAACGGCACTTCCGAGGCGGCAAGGGTTGGCGTGAGTGTGCTGGCTCTCAGCTCAAGGTGCAAGGCGTGGAATTGTGGTTGACGAAGCAAGGGGTGCCATATAAGAGCAAAGCCGGAGATTGATGGTCGCCGTCCTGTATACAAAGTAGATGCGCGGGATGTAACACGGCGCTTGGTCTGCGAACAGGAACAGATCGTTGGAGACGACGAAGACGACGACGAAGAATAGTAAGGAAGTGAGAGAGACAGAGTGAGATAGACTTGAAAAGGTAAAGCAAGCTGACAAGGGGAAAACCTGACAGCAAGCGGGTTATTTGCCAGGACGAAGATGAATAGACGATCCAAGGCTCCAAGAGGATGGGAGCTCTGGGCTTGTTATATGGATCGGGCTGGGAGTCTGGGACCGAGATCCATCAAGCCGGTGACAAGTTGGCATACGTACAAGAACGAATAAGGCCAGCAGCTGGTACGCCGGGACTCGAGAAAACACAGAGCCTCACCTCACACATTTGCGCATAGTAGATGCATTACCAAGATAGGCACCATTGGCTGTCGCTAAGGGGACGTCTCTGGTAGGATCGGTGATACAATCCACACGCCCCCGGCCGCAGCTTGGGGATGGAGCAGTGGGCTGGCACAGATGGGGAACAGCGGCTGGTGTTCGACGCACACGCCCTGTAGGGGTACTCTCTGTGAGGAACCTGGACTCAGCCGGGGGGCGAAGTGCATCGCATGGAGGGGCATCGCAAATGGGGGGACCCCCCCCCCCCCCCCCCCCCCTGGCTGGTTGGACGGACGGACATCGACAGGCGATCTGAGCTGCTCGTACTTTGCATTTGGTACCCCGGCCTTGTCTCGCCTTGGGCTTGTCGTCGATGGCCCAGGACAGCTCTCCGTGGCAGTCTGCGTGAGCTGCTTCAGCGGGACATGGGCACATAAGCGGCCTAGCAGCAGCAGCAGCGCCCATCTGCCGGATTGCAAGAGGAGAGAGGACGTCGTCTTCAGCGGCACTCGTGGCCGTGAGTGAAGTGGTGCCGTCCAGCCTAGCCTGACCATCCCGCGCAACTATATGCAGAAGCAGTTAGATGGGGACGCAGTAGTATCAATTCTTCATGTCGACGACCAACAGCACAAAGAGCAGCAGCCGTGTATCATGTCCCGGCAGACGCGCTCAAAGGCATTGGCGAGCGGCTGACGGACCCGTTGACGGCAATGTAGTAGACATCTAATTCTGGGCTCGTCAAAGTCGCACTTTGCTCCAGGCCTCAGCAGAAGCAGGCAGACACAAGACACATGCAACCTCTGATGCATCACGCATGCCGCCTCGCGGCGCAGAGAATAGAAGCGTAGCTGGCCATCAGTGGTGGAGCGGGTGGTGGCCGAAAGCTGGCCGGGGCCCCGAGCTGGAACTGGAGGGGGGACAGCAGCAGAAGGAGGAGCACAAGAGGCGTCAAGGCAGGGAGTCGCATCGAATCGTCCTGTGGTCGGCCGCCAGAATCTCGGCGCAACTGGGCCCTGAGGCGCTGCGCCAGCCATGATGACGGTCCGTGGGCGCCGACCTGTGGTGCGCATGGTTCGCTGCTAGTGGAGGCGGGAGAAGACGAGGAGAAACAAGGGGCCCTGTTTTAGCCCCCGGAGGACTGCAGTCGTCTTTGTTTTGTTTCGGTTTGCATCGCCCAAGAAACGGAGGGGAGGATGGGTGGATGGATAAGGATGGATGCGGCCACAGATGGGGAGAGGGATCAGTGGGAGATGATGGTATTCAGAGAGTGACTTGGGCGAGCAGTGCCCTGGAGCCTGAGCAGCAAGGCGCCAAGGCAGAAACCGAAAGAGTCTGGTCCATCGAAGCGAGAGTGACTCGAGAGTTGATGTATCGATATCGAGGTACGTTCCGAGCTGCGCATCCAAGGTTTGCTTTCAGGTACGAGTACCTTGACGGGCCCACCCGCAGGTGTTCGCGCTTGTACATACATAAGGTAGGTACTCGGAGTCATCATCATCTACCTTACAGCAACATCAGACGATTGCCATTACGTGCATTTTCGTCTGCACCGTCGAATGCTGTGCTGGCTGAGACAGGATCCAAGCGCTGATCGGGACAGTCGAGATAGTACTACTAGTACCTGTAACAGCACCCACCCGCATCTGCCAGCAGCTCACAGCCCCTCGCCTTGCGAGCGTTGTACGGTTTCTGTGCAAATATGCTCGTATGTACTGTACTAGACTTATCTGCTACCTTACGTTACAGACACGCCCTCGTTTTCTCGCGGCCTCAACGGCATTCTCCATCCTTTCCCCACTGAAGCAGACCGGGGCGCATGCGAAGTGAGCGACAAACCCCCAAATAGGGCTTCGCTACAGCACAAGCGCGAACCGGCCCCAGAACCCTCGATGACCTCTTGGGAAAAGGCACTTAATCCGTTTTTCCAATTCCTCGCTCGCCTTTTCCCGACGTCCATTCATCTACGTACTAGTAGTAGTAGTACTGCTTAGCGGCCGTGACTGGTGTGGGGGCTCCTCCTCATGTGCGAAAGGGGAGCAGCAGGGGGGCCAGCAAACCGGCCGCGCACATGAAATACATCGTACGGTCCAAGTCGCAACTCCACACATAGAGACGCAGGGTGTTTTCCTCTTATTTCCGCCCTCTTACTGACAAGATATGATTTGATGTGATGTGCTGTAAGATGCTCGGCGGAATGAGTCAAGGGGTGTACATGGACGTGGCTGGGTCTGACCGGCAACTGCAAAGCGAAACCCACGCAAGTGGGAGCTGCGGTATCACTTGCAGCAACACTCGCAGCATCACTATGTATATTCACAGGTACGACAAGCCGGTAGTAGGCCATGGGGCGGCATAGATGTAGTGTCAAGTGGCGGGAGCATCTCCGGTGGTATCAGATGGGATGACGGCTTCAGAGAGACACAACAGTAACAGGATAGACTGCGTCTGCCTGTGGCCCTGAGTACGTGCGTCCGAGAGGGTGGGTAAGAAATCAAACAAACACCACACATCGCGGCAGGAAGAAATCAAGAGATGCACCAACGAAACCTCAAGAGACGGAGGAAGACGAAGGCAAATACCCCTGGCGCGCTGAGCAGAAGCGTGAGAAGTGCGTGAAGGGGGGTTGTAAGACCATCCGCAACGATGAGACACAAATGGCGGACCAACGTGATGATCCGAGGAGGGTCGGTCTCCAGTCAAATGTTTCCCTTTTGCTTGTGTAACCAGTGCTTCAGAGCCGGCGCTCCGCCGTTGCTGCGCGGTCAAGGCGCCCGAGACTGCGTAGAATGGCGGAGCGAAGCAGAATTGGGGACTGGCCGTGAGAAACATTCGATGACAATCTCGCTGGCTAGCGCTGCTGGGCTGCAGGACGCAATTTCGATTTGCTTGCTGCATGCTTGCCATGCTGCCAATTTTTTTGCTTGCTTCACGTTGCTTGCTTGCTTGCCTGCTTGCTTGCTTGATGTCTGTGGCACTAGGCATGGCCGTGAGCGGGTGGCGCCACTGCCCGACATCTTTGGCGGTGGCATTTCGGAACGCCAATGTTTCTGCATCGTCTTGATGTGCTCATTTGCTGTGCAGCGAGCCATCTGATGCAATGGGGCGTCGATGCGAGTGTGAAGTAGCGTCTGCGAGTCCCTGCAATGACGACGATGACGGCGATGACGATGATGCTCTTTCTGTTTCTTTTGCTTCATGTGCCGTCTCTCGCCTCTCTGCTGTCAAGTGACCGTTAGCAGTGCGACGGTGTTGGCGGTCGAGGAGCGGTGATGGCGAGGGCAATGCGACTCCGTACTGTACTGTACCGCGTGCACCGTTCGTGCCTGGATATAGGTAGGTAGCTCCTCATTGCACGCACGCTGTGTGGGTAGGTAGGTATCTGGGAGGGCTGTCACCACAAAGCCCATCGCCATGCTGTTGCCGACACTGCTGTGTTCGGTGCGCTCCAGCTCCCAGATCGGCGACCCAGGACGCATCCCGTTTCCTTTTCGACGTATCAGCGCCCGCCTTGAATCGCCGAGTCGCTGCAGCAAGAGGCGTTCAGCCCATCGGCAGGTCCGTCCACCGTCGATTCTGGTGTCGACTGTTCTGGGCGAGCTGCATCACGCCGCCCAGCCAGCAGCAGCCCGTACGTGCGCTCTCCCACGCACCACCCACCGCTAGTTGCGCCATCATGATCACTTTAATCAATGCTAGTGCGCGTCTTGTGCCGCAGTAGTCGTCGTTGTCGTCGTATGTCATATGTCGGGTATCATATGTACTCAGTACCATGAACATGGGAGCTGTGTCCATCTGCTGATAGCCGTCCCGTCCGTGGAGGTTGAAAGAATTGGATGACGCTGACCCGGTGCAGGTTGCAATCGTGCTGGACCCCACGCGCTAGCGGTGCCGTCTTTAGAACATTTTTAGGGCACTGGCAGCGCTCAAACTGTGGTGGAGCGACGGGGGGGCTGGGCCCTGGGGCGCCTTGGGGGGCTGCCGGATATCGATGGACGGCTCCCCGGGGCTGTACCTGAGTCCGGCGGGGGCCATCAGACGGCGGGGACTGAATCAGGTGAGACTTGAGGGCCTGTGCCGCCGCCACGGTTGATAGCATAAGGTATTGACGCCCGGATACATATTGTACGAGGGCGGAATAGAGTGCTGACGGCAGTCCACGGCCCAGTGTGGTGCTTTCAAGTTGCCTGTATCCATGCTGAAGCGTACCTACCTAGGAATGGGCAGAGTCGCAATATTGATTCCATCCATAGGTTGCTTCAAAGCGACGAGGATAAAGGGCAAAAGGAAGCCCAGATAGGGGAGCTGGCTCTCCGAGTACCTACATGTAGGATCCTAGCACCAACTCTGATGCTACTTTGGGACCTGATCTGGATGTCGTATGTCTGAGATGTAGCTTCACGTAGCCTAGTAGGTACTCCGTAGACATCCCTGGACGACAATTACTGCTGGCGAATGATGCTGCCCCCTTACAGCTGACATGCCGGGTGTCTTGCCCAGACACACTTGAGTCGATTCTTACACACACACACGCTCAACGCCATCCAATCCAATGCTCACGACAAGCAAGAGCTAAGACCACGGCAACCCCACGCTCTGCTCCAGATAGATTGCCCATGAGTCCCGGTGGCGTTGCCGTTGGCATTTAGTCCATCCTCTGCCGATATCTGTGTCCAGTTGCTACCACACGCAGTTGGATACACGCAGCTCCACGGGGTAAGTCACTGTCAGCATCACCCACATTGACCTCACATCGCATCAGAGTCTTGATAT